TCATTGGGTGTTTAGTTTGGAATACCGCTGAATGCAGGCGCCAAAAAAGACACGACCCCGAAGACGATTTCTTCGCTTTGCATGTGGTACCACACACTCTGGCAGGTACCACCGCTTCGTGCGAACGATCAAAAATGCCTTTTTTCGTTGTTAAGTCACGCAAAATTTCCATAAAATTAATGCATTATGGGTCTTCTCGATTCTCTCAAAATGCAGGAAATCGCATTTCCGAGGATTAAAACTCCAAAATTTTCTGGGGGGAATGCCCCCGTACCCCCTAAAAAGTCGCGCCTTCGGCGCTCATCAGCCCCCCACATAATCAACCGCTCCGCGGTCCCTGTCTGGCTATCACGTGTGATATCAACTTTATGTCGCGGCATAGATATAACTGCTTATTAAAAAGTTGACTTGATCAAAGCCATCTATTATCGTTATGAAAGGCATGGAGAAAGTATTAGTTTACTACCATAGAAAAGGGAAGGAGGTACACTTAGAGAGTTATTGGAGTTCCAATATTGACTACAGTATTCAAAGCTCAGTATTAAAGCTGAAGAACCATTTGGGGAACTTCCTCAGCCTGAAAGAACACCGGTAAAACGTACTTTTTTTATAACTGAATATTTAGTTGCTAATTATTACACAAAAATAATAATTAACATGTGGCTTAACTGAGAACCGAGAAATTTAACTGATAACTGAGAAAATTGCCAAAATTTAGCTGTTAACTGATATCGGGACCCCCCCATTCAGACCCTGCTTCTGGCAACAAGGCATTGTCTTGCCTACTATATACTTTGTCCTCGAAGAGACTACTTAGGTCTACTTATGAGTTGGAATTAAAGAAAAACAATGTCTCTTCGAATCCCGTAGGAAGACAAACATATTCTAGATCCTTCTATGAATTCTAATAGCGCGTTTTTTTGAAGGGCTTTTAGCACAGTATTACTAGATATTTCCATCCACCATCACGGTATATATAAAAAAGCAAGACGGCGTCTCAGAATTTTTCTCAAACCGGAAAAATATTTTTAAGCTAATAAGGCTCGCTATGATTGCCTGAAATATGCTGACTAATTTAAAAAGTGTTTTGATTGGCCGGTCGCGTTTTTTCAGGATCGTGTACAGCTAATTCAGCAATAAAGAGAACCAGAGTCTGTCCGGGAGCAAAACAAAGAGCGACCTGACAGACTGGTGGAATCAGTCTAAATAGAGGGCTACTCGCTTCGCTTTGTTCACATGTCAGCAAAAAATCGTTGTTTTCAATGACAATTACATTCCTTTGGAACAGCGTGCATCTACTATAAAAAGGCTATCCTTGAAATAGTATCAGAAAGACTCTTTGATGACCTATGACCTCCAAAGATGGCGACGAACATTGTAAAAGGCTATGAGAATTTTTTCAACGTCGAAGATTACCTTGAACAGTATTAAGACCCCAAAACGGAGCCATGGGTTTTAGAGAAGCTTCAACTATTTTGGAAGAAGTTTAGAACGAAGAACAATCTTAATCTTTTGGAATATGGAGGGGGTCCTAATATCTCTCGTCTAATCAGTGCATGCCAGTACATGGAAAAAATTGTTTTCAGCGACTACGCTGATGTCTTAAMATGAGATAAAGAACGAGGAGGTCGCCGAAGAGACATAATTATTTGCTGAATTAAAGCTAAAAATGTTTGTTATACTTTGAATGATTCTTTTTACTTGGGTGGGGGTATTTGATTGAAATATCTGACCCAGGGGCTGGGGGTTTTATCGCTTTTTGTCCAGTGGTT